TGAAATGAGCAAAGATTCATTATTTTAAGATTTAATAAAGAGACAAACAAAACTTTGAAATTACATTATGAGGATGAAGATGGTGTTGTACATTAAAATCATTTAAATATTTTTTTCGTTAACTTTACCACTAATTTGTTTTATTTTGGCTCAAAACTTTATTTAATCTATGTTTTGTGCTTGAAATGAGCAAAGAATCATTATTTAAAAATTAAATAAAGAGTCAAACAAAACTTTGGAAAAACATTATGAGGATGAAGATGATGTTGTACACTGAAATCAATTAAAAATTATTTCATTTTAGTTCACCGCTGATCTGTCCTATTCTGGTTCAGATCTTTATTTAATCTTTGTTTTGTACTTAAAATGAGTAAAGAAACATTATTTTAGGATAAAACAGTAAGTCAAACAAAACTTTGGAATAACATTATGAGGATGAAAATGATGTTGTACATTGAAATAAATTAAAAATTATTTCTATTCACTTCAAGACTGATCTGTCCTATTCTGGCTCAGATCTTTATTTAATCTAAGTTTTGTGCTTGATATAAGCAAAAAACATTGTTTTAAAATAAAACAGTGAGTCAAACAAAACTTTGGAATAACATTATGAGGATGAAGTTGATGTTGTACATTAAAATCAATTAAAAATTGTTGACGATGCCGACAGTGCTTCATGAGGATGAAGATGATGTTGTACATTAAAATTAATGTAAAATTATTTTTATTCACTCCACCACTGATCTGTCCCCATCTGGATCAGATCTGTAATTCATCTAAATATTTTGCTTCAACTAAACAAAGAAACCTAGATCTGAGATAAATTACAGGGTCAAACAAAATTTTGGAAAAACAATATGAAGATGGAGTTGATGTTGTGCATTAATAAAATGAGTTTGGTTCAAAAAGGCACAAATAACTAATTTTGACAATTATTAAAAAGAAAACAATTAATTCACAAGCAGAAGAGTGGTCTGCATTGTTTCCAACAGCCTGAAAAGCACTTTAGTGCATAAAAAATAAAATCACCGAATTTTGAACCAATCTATTTTACAGTCATTTTTGTATAATATAATAATAAAATGAGTTTGGTTTAAAAAGACACAGTTAATTATTTTGCACAACAACTCCAAAAGAAAACAACTAATTCACAAACAACAGAGTGTGCTGTGTTTTCTCCAGCAGCCTAAAAGGCACTTTAGTGTATAAAAAATAAATCCACTGAATTTTGAACCGATTTTACTATCAAGCTATTTTTGTACAAAATAATAATAAAATGACTTTAGTTCAAAAAGGCACAGATAATAAAAATTTGACAACAACTCTTTTAAAAACAACTAATTCACAAGCAGAAGAGTGCGATAATTATTTCTGCATGTGGCACCATTCACCAGGACCAGTGGCCGTACCAGTGCACCGAGTGCGGCCACCCGTTCCCGCACAAGCGCAGCCTGAAGGTGCACACCCGCCTGCACACCGGGGAGCGGCCGCACCGGTGCGACGGCTGCGGCCGGGCCTTCACCCAGAAGGGCCACCTCACCGCCCACCTCTGCCTTCAGCCGCGGGAGATGGCCTACCGGTGCGCCCACTGCCCAATGCAGTTCGGCTTTGCGTACCGCCTGAAGCTGCATCAGCGCGTTCATCTTAGGCCGCCGGAACATGTGCCCGCCGCTGCTGGGGAAGTGCTGGATGAGCAGAAGCAGCAGCACCAGCACTAGCACCAGTACCAATTTTCAGCACAATTGATACTGTTTTTTTCAGTGTAAAATATAACTTTGAGCACTTGAGTTAATATAATAATAAAATGAGTTTAGATTAAACAGGGTGGTAAGTCTGGCAAGCCAGGACTACAGCGAACCTTTTTTTTGCGTGCACCGCTAGGACTTTGCAAATTTTAATCGTGCATCGATAGGAACTTACTGTCGATACTATTACTGTCGACGGAAACTGACATGGCTAAAGTCACGTCAAACCTAGCCGCGTTTAGCGGTGCAACGCTAGAACTTTCAAACTACTTTATCGCAAATCTCTGATGTGGCTTGACCACTGCCAACTTCCGTTTTCTCGGGTCCTGCTCGCTTTGCTCGCAGGACCTGAGAAAACGGAAGTTAACAATGTTCAAGACACATCAGACCTTGCGAAGTGTAGGCGTGCATTGTTGCAGAATGCATGTGCAATCACTTTGCTGGCCAAACACATTAGCTGCAAACAAAAGGAAAAACTTCGTCTTTCCTAGTGAACCGCAAAGATAGCGCTCCCAAGGAACCGCAAACTGTTTACATTTGGTAGCAGCAGCAGGCTCTCACACTACAACACACGCGTCAGCTGACTGCAGCTCTATTTTTCTCTCTCCCTCTACAGCCTGAGTCATACTTTCTTGCACGCCACGTCTGCTATTGTCCGCCGTTTTCCTCTCTCTGTACCTTTCACAGTGCTTTTATTTTAGTTTTTTTGGGTTCCTGTATTTTGGGACCCGTTGGTCGTACGACTCTAATTCTTTTGCCTGAATTTTTGTTTGAATTAATGTAATTTTTGTGCCAAGTTTGGGCAAAATTAGGAAAATTTTTAGTGTACAGGGGTACTTTTGCACCTTGTCACTGGTCGCTTTGTAAATCATGGCTGGTTTTCGAGTTGGTGAGATGTTTGTGCAATGCACAAATGTTAATAGAGGTAAAAAAAGTAGATTTTCAAAAATCACTGGCTGCAAAAAAAGCTTTTCAACTGTGAAGTTTTTTAAACAAAATGTTTTTCTGTAAAATGGTGCAGCCCTTTTGTTTGTTTTTAAAAAAGTTAATTTGAAATTGCTAATGATTTTGAAAATACACTGATTTTGCAAAATAAGATTTACAATGGACCATTCTTTAGTTGATTAGCGGTTGTTTTTATATATCGGCAACAGTGGACAATAGTTTGTGTTAGGTTTTAGAACCTTTATGATTTTAGAACTGTCAAGCATTGTTCTCCCACTCTATTTAAAATGGCACATCTCACTGTAGTGAGTCAGTTGTTCTTTAGTAGATGTTGATTAAAGTTCTCTTTCAGCCACACTCTCCCTGCCCTCCCAACAGTTTGCATTTGCACTTCAAGTTAAAAAATCAAAATCAGTTCCTTGAAGCACTTTGCTCCCTTTCTTACGCAACAGCTTTCTCTGCATTACACTACACCGTTGTCACAAAAGTGTGTATGATTGTGCAGTCAATTGAAGTGATTGAGCAGTTGATGCGCCGCCTTGATAGCATCAAAGTGTGATTGTTTTAAAGCGTAAAGACTTTCTGGTTCAATTAGTGAGAAAGATCTTCCTGCGTCCTGGGAGGTTGCGCTTTAGATTACGACGATTAGCACTTTGTTCTTAAGAGCCCAACAAGTGTTGTACACGCACTGTGATTACCAAACAGCAGCAGCAGCATCGGCTACTAAGATCGGTTCATGCTGTTGCAGTGATTTCTCTACTAAGTTTAAGTTACTAAAATATTGTACTTTAGTAAACCAATTTTGAAATATTGCGCTAATCTGCATGAATGAAAACACAAACCGACGAGTGACATCACCTGTGAACAGGTGAAGTCTAGTTGAGTGGCAGTGAATGTAAATGAGTATGCATTTGCACCGTGAATAAATGGCTAACTGTACCTTGCAGCACCAGTGTAATATCACTGCTGCTTTTTGCACAATGTCAATTTTATTTGTTTAGCTTAACTTTAAAACCAAACACTGCTGAAAGTGCTCACAAAATGCTGTTGTTGCTAAAGGCCAGTTTCCTGAATAGCCTCAACACGGAAATTAGTCGCAGTCAAAATCAACAGTTTGTTTCCTTTGTGACACTACCAAAAAACCGGTGATTAGGGAGAATCGGCGGTAGTTACTGCATGGTTACACTGCAGACATATCAACACGGAATGCTTCAACATCGTTGTTTACACTTTTATTTGTTTGCGTTGTTTCACTTCCTTTTTCCTGGCAGTGTATATGACGCATTTTTGTAAAAACAATAAAAAATTTTAAGTTATTCAGTTTTTGTCACAAAGTACAAGTTGAATGCTGTGCATTACCATTTGTAAACTGTCAAAAAAGCCTTTTTGAATGAACCAAAGCAAATCAACTTTAGAAGCGGTTTGGTAACGCGGCGCGCGGAGAGATTTACAAGCATGACGTAGTCCAGACTGACTTTTAATGGTAGAGGGAGCAGCTTATAAAGCATTTACAACGGTTTCGAACTTCGCGTGAGCAAAGCCACGTCACCAGCGGCCTGGTGGCCGCTACTCTTTATAATACGTTTCCATAAAAATTGTTTGTTTTTAAAATAATAAAAAAAAATTAAACACACAAAGTGCTGTTACTAAGGAAAATAATTGTTCATTCAGGCGGTATAATAAAAATAAATAAAAAATAAAAAACGAAGAGTTTGAAAAGGCGGACAGTTAAGCTTAAGAAAAAAATAGAGCAGGTAGAAAAATTCAGACAATTATTATAAAAGAGAGAAAAAGAAAGATAGTAGTGAATCATAAAAGAAAAATTACATTGCGATTAAAAAAAATTTGGCCCGAGCAAGTTAGGCTCTAGAGCATAAAAGGCAAACATTTGAAACTATCTCAAAAAGTGATAAGTTTCAAAATTAGCGATTAAAATCAATTCCATTTAGGAATGTTTCAAGAAAAGGGAGAAAATTAAAAGTGAGGTGAGTGTTAAAATGTGAGATGAGAATAAAAAAGTAAAGGGGAGAAAGAGTGGTGAGAAGGGTGAGTTGAGATTATCGGAAAAGAGGAAAAAAGAGAAAGAGAAAATGAGAAAAGAAAGAGAGAGAGAGAGAGAGA